ATAAAGTAGGTTGACAATATGTACAAGGTTTTGTATGGGAAATGGAGCGTACTACTGAGTGACCTGGGTTTTTTGTTTGAGACAGGGTCTCAGTACACTGCACAGGCTGGCCCCGAACTCCCAGGCTCAAATTATCCTGCTACCTTAGGACTACAGGCATGCTCCACCACACCCACCTTCCATCTAGTGATTTTAAACAACCACTATCAGGCTGGAAGCACAGCTCACTGGTAGAGCACATGCTTATTGTGCATGGGTATAGTCTCTGGCATCAAAGAAAAGCAGCAAAAATAAATAACCAACCAACCAACCAACATCAAGTCTGCATAGGCACAAATCTCTGGGTACAACAGTGGCTCAGGGGAGCAGCCAGGATACATGTTTGGGGAATATCTTAACATTCAGTATAAACAAAGCCAAGCCTCTCAGCAGGTAGGCGAGGAAAACACTGCCTTGCTGACCTGCCAGCCCATCTCATGAGATGTACCTCAGAGTACAGATATCCCCCCCAGCTAGAAAAACTTATACTAGGGAGCCACCATCTTGAATATACAGAAAAGGAGGTATGCCTTTTCATCTTAAATCTGTAGAGAAAGCAGACAGCAATGCCTGATATTTCTTAAAAGAGATTTTTCTTCTGTGGCAGAAAACCTAAGAGGATTACTTGTCAAGGACCCAGCTCTATCAATTACAATTGAAGAAAACCTGTTTAGAGAAAACTACTTTATTGGGGGAAAAGAGTTTGGAACATCTGAAATACCGTGACCTATGATGTAATGTCCTCTAAGGAGACTGAGCTCGCAATCCTTCACTGGCAGTGAAGTCACCCATCACCTTACCAAGTGCACAGGTAAGTAATAGTTCCGGATGGACTGACGACAATGAATAATACTCACAAGTCATCAACAGCAAAAACTCAAAAAAATCCAATTCTGCTGCATTGTTTTCCACCTGCCAGAGGCCACAGATGTATTTACACATTGCCTCCATCAGAATCACAGCTGTAGGTTTTCCTCTGTAAATTTTCTTTCCGTGGCTAAGGTTACAGGATTTCTGTACGAGAGGGTGATTGGGTTTCTGTGTGACCCACATACAGTTGGACTCCATGCCTTGGGACCCGAGACAGGTGTTTCTTTTGGAAAAGAGAATCAACCACCCCGGTTCTAAACCAAGCAATACAGGCAATGCCTCCTGTGTAACGCCCTGGGCCGAGTTTTAATGACTCCATCTCACCACTTTGGTTACAAAGGAACTTGATCAGCATTTACGCAGAACCCACAGTAGTCAACACTCAGGGTTGAGGAAAAGCAAAGAGAAATACAGACACACAGACACGCACACACACACAGGGAGGGAGAGGGAGGGAGGTAGCCTTGTAAACGCTAAGGAAACAAACTGCTATAAAGAGAAATTGATGAGACTATTTTGGTGGAATTCCTGGAAGACGAGTTTTTAATCTTTCTTCATATGGAAGAAGGAAGATGGATCAGAAAACCAACAGGTAGCTTAAGAGACACCAGATGATATGCAGACAGAAATGGAATTTCAGAAGGGCAAGCATTTTTATAAACGCAAAATAATTAATCCAAGAAATTAAATAACCTAATAACAATGTCAGTATCAGAAAAAGTTTAGGGTATAAGATTCAGTTTCTATCACTGAAAATGTTATGGTCTAGCTTGGAAAAGACATATAGAAAGATACACACATACCACATAAATATCAAGTAATACTAAAAGGCAAATAGTAACTTAGTACTCAAAGGCAATAGTTTATTGATGCCCAGTAAGGAGTATCAGTAAACAAAGGTATCATTTTAAGGCCCGCTTGTAGACTAGAGTATGAAGGGAGACTTCCTGGAGGTGAACACTACATCAGACCCTGAAGACAGGTCAGCTTATCTTAAACAAGTAGGCAAGAAGACATTTAGGACATAAAGAATCAAAATATTCAGGAAGTGCATGCAGGCTACTGGAAAGACAGCAAACATGCCACCCCAGAAGTATGCTTTCTTAGTGCACGTTTTCACACTTATACACAGAAGACAAAATCACTGATTTCGTGGAAGTAGAGCATAGAACAGGGGTGACAAATCTGTGGCATTCATGGTATTTTTCTTTTAAGACAAAAGATGTTAAAGTATGAGCTGGTTTTTATAAACTAAAATCTCAGAATTCAGGTTTAATTGCTGGCACTGTGCGAGAAGTAAGTGGGGTTTTGCATTGCAGTCTGCGAACTTATCTCTCAAAGGTTCGCCATCATCAGCACAAAACCATTAGTTCGACAAGAGCCTGGGAAGAGTGGGAGGGGAATGGAGAGAGGATGGGAACTGGGACAGTGGTGTGGCTGAATGAGCAATTTCTAAGTTCTACAGCACAAGTGCGGTAACTGGGTGAGTATTTCCAAAACAGCTAGTGCAGACAATCTGGAAAGGTCCCAAAACACAGGAATGATAAATGTTTGAAGTGATCAATATGTTCATTACCATGATCTGACCATTACACACTGTGGGCATGTACTGAAATGTCACACTGTACCCCATAAATATTTGCAGTCATTGCATGTCAGTTAAAAATAAAAACATATATTTAAAAACAGGCAGAGAAATCATTTATCCTAATTACACTGCTCAGAGAAGCTGTCTACAATGAACACACACTAGAATCAGACGGAGCAGGAACATGACCCCGCAGGTCAGAACTCACTAACCCTCACCTGGGAACTTACTAAAAATGCAAACTCTCAGGGCCCCCTGCGATCCACCAAAACACCAGCTCTGCGGTAGGGTCTTCCAGTGTGGCTTTTGGTTTTGTTAACCAAATCAAGGGCTTCAAGCATGCTGAGCATGTGCTGTATCACTGAGCTGCACCCCCAGCCCAGGTGTGTGGGTTTAATAAGCTCTAACAGGTGACTCTGAGGGGCATTCCAATTGTAAGGGTGCTCATCTATACACCAAAGACAAAGCTAGCTGGGTGTGGTGGCACACACCTGTAATCCCAGTGCTTGGGAGGCTGAGGCAGGAAGATCGTTGTGTGTTTGAGACCAGCCTGGGCTACAAAGTGAGCTCAAGGCCAGCGTAAACTGCATAGTGAGACCCTGTCTCAAAAAAAAAAAAATAAAAAAAAAATAAAGCTAGGCTAATAGATGCTTGCAAGTAAATCCTAAAACACCAAAAGCATTCTAAGACCCAAGAGAAACAGAATGTGTTTCACTGATTGCAATTTAAAAAAACCTGGTTCCTGAAGTAAGGGCAAGTCTACATTTTAACAAAAATCTTTCCAGACCCACTTCCACTACGCCTGCCCTCCTCCCTTTTTGGATCTCAAGGTTGGTGTGCTTCTCATGACATTTTCAAATGTGTATGAACAGGAAACTGGGGGATTCGTTCCTCATTTGATTTATGACCAAAATATCAAGCTCTTCTTGTTTCAGGCCTGGGTGTGCTGTGAATTGAAAAATGGCTGTCCCACAGCTTATAATGTCACTTTTCTACAGAATCAATATGGAAGAAAGATGACTGACTAAACTGTTCTCCATTGACTATGATCCACACTTACTGAAAGAAATAATTAGGGACCTGGCTTTCACTAAAACACACACAGGTTAAACTCCATCTTGAGCACAGCCAGGATGAGAATTCAGGTTCCTATGTAACTAGTTTTACTGTTGTATATAACAGTAAATTTTAAAAGACTTCTTCTTGTGAGTAACGAATAGTAAAGATGGGCTAGGGATGTGGCTCAGTGGTGTGGTGCTTGCCCTCCAGGTACGAGGCCCGAGTTCAATCCCAAAAGGCCTGGGGAGAGGCAGTAAAGGTGCAAGCTGAGCAATAAGCATGTATGACGATCTCAGGAGGGAAACAAGCTCATCCAGAGAATATGTTTCCGTACTTGGGCACTTCGCTCTGATTTAAGTTAGCTTTTCCACATCTTCAGGTTGCCCCAAAATTTCCGATGCCAAATTCCTCCAGACTCTCTTAATACTTAATAGGTTCATAATGATTTCATGTGAATTCTGCTGTAACTATAAAAAGCCAAGTAATGTGAGGGACACTTTCTAATCCATTTAAAGTCCCAAGAATTCCTAGCTAGGGTCAGATGACATCATTATCTACAGTTTATTTTTAGCAACTTCGGATTAAAAAAAAATTAATGCTCTCTGGGTAAATTATAAATATATTTTTGGATGTAATTTGATTGACTAATCAAGTAATACCTTGTAATTACGAATAAAGTTGTTTTTGTCTCCCCTGAACACTTGTTAGAAATTCAGTGTCCTTCTGAGGTCCCACACCAACCCCCATTCTGCCCCGACTCACAGCCTCTGTTAACACAGCAGGGCAAACTCTTATGCACTCAGAGGAGGTAAAGGCACTTGGTATGCTTGTCCTCATATTTGTACTAGACGTCCTAATATACCTGAGCTGATCTGCACATGTCAGGCACTAAACCAAAACACTGGATATAAAATCAGGTGTCATTCATCGAGTCTCCATTATGTAGGAGCTATGGGGTAAAACAGAGCAGAACGCTAACACCAAGCTATCAAACATTCACGTAACTAGAATACCACTCCACAGGCAGTTTCAAGAGACCATCGGTCACATGAGCGCATTCTTAGCACTCTCAAAATCTGCATAAGTAGTGAGACAATATTCTAAGTAGAACAGAACAAAGTCCACTTGAATGACCCAAAACTGCCACAAACTAAACTGGAAGATGTGAATTCACTTCTGAGGTAGCCCAGGCTGACCTCAAACTCATGGCAATCCTCCTGCATCAGCCTCCCAAGTGCTGGGATTATGGGTGTGTGAACCTGAAAATTTGAAGTAGTACCGATTTCCCCTTAGCCTATGCCCCGTTCTCCCTGGGGAAGCTACAGTGAACACAGGATAAGTAGCTCTAATGGCTTCAGTGCCCACTGGCCAAGTAAACATCAATCCAAAGTAGTCACAGCTCACTTTCCGTCAGCACCAAACCAAACAAAGCACAGCAACTTACGTAGTGGCTGCCAAGTCCCCGCAGGCTCCTCCATCTGCCAGGACGTGATTTCTGTCTGGTGCAGGGGACCCATGGGCAGCTGCAGTCGTAGGAGATGGGGAGGACAGTGAGTCCTGACTGCTTGCAGGGGTGTCCTCCTTTGGAGAGTTAGGACTATCACCTAGGCAGAAGAGAGCATTGAATGTCAAACAAATACTCAGACAAAAAAAGTAACTCTGCTAATAATTACATGCCATTACTTGATTAGTCAATCAAATTATATTCCAGATTGCATTTACAATTCAGCCTGAGAGCATTTGGGTGTCCTGTCTTTGCAGGGGCAGGGGGTGGGTGGGTGGCTGGATGTGTGTGTGTGTGTGTGTGTGTGTGTGTGTGTGTGTGTCAAAGATGTTTAAAATAAACCACAGGCTGCTATAGTCTGGATGTGAAATATCTTCTAAAGGCCCATTTGCTAAAAGCTTAGGCCCCAGCCGACGGTACTATTGGGCAATGGTGGCAATTTTAAGAGGTGGCATCTTGCAGGAGGTCTTGTGGTCATTGGGGAGGCGTGCCTCTGAAGGGGACGCAGGGACCTACGTCCCTTCCCCCATCCTTCATTAATTCCCAGGGAAGAGGAGACCAGCTCCGCCATGCCACATGGTCCCTGCTGCCATGTGTTTCCTCACCACTGCCCAAAAGCAAATCAGCCGAACAGTCATGAACTGAAGCCTCAAAAACTGTGAGCCAAAATAAACTTTTCTCTCCATCAAGCTGATTTATCTCACATAATTGTTTCACTAAGGGAAAGCCGAGGAACACAGTTCATCCCCAGGAAAGAGGGTTTTTCTCTACTACACAACACAGTCATCAACGGCCGATCAAGCAGAAGGGAACACCCTCACGGGCGCCACAGCGTGCCCTAATCCCAAGACCCCAGGCTCGAGTCCACGACAACAGGAGGACGGCCTGGAGCAGGGCAGGCCAGCTCTCTCCTTCCAGCCTCCTGCTGGTCCTCTAGGCCATGCTCAGTCAGCCGTTTGTGTGTAATAACCCCAACAACTCTGAAGAGACCTGGCTCTTGAACTGGTATCTTGGATCACAATTTCTAACAGCCCAACCTATGCAAATCCCATAGAGAAACTTCCATTACCCTGCTGTCTTAGTTACTTTTCTCTCATTGCTGAGACAAATACCCAACACCCAAAGTTAAGGGGGAAAGGGTTATTTAGTGTACAATTTGTAGAGGTCTCAGTCTATCACTGGATGCCTCCAAGGGAGGGTGGCATGGCAGAGTGGCATTGCAGATGAGAAACAGTTCATGTTGGTAGCAAAGCAACCAAGGGACAAGACAAGCCTCTTTCTGTTCTTCACGTTGTATCCATGCTACCAAATCAATCAGTGGAAGGATTTGCTAATCACCCACCCTTAATGCTAGAGCTGCACTGTGAATCACTCACACACTCTAGATTCAGCCACCCCTGAAAACTCCCCATCAGTGACTTCATGAGGCTTTGGGGGGCCATCTAGACACAAGCTATAAAACCTGTGAATAAGGGGGACAGCACACATGTCTCCCGTAGTGACTGCACGGGATGAATTCAAACCAAAACAAACAGGAATTTCCTATAGGAATTACACCGCTTATACATCCAAGGAGGACCATTTTATGAAACAGGTTTAGTATCATTTGTACATGTATGGGCTTTGGTAGAAAACACAAAAGATAGAAAAGAGAGCTCACAAGACAGCTGTTTCCTTCAACTGGTCTCTCACTTCTACAGTGCTCCAGCTACCATGAAATCCACCTGAACTGCACCAGTTATAAATTCAGCCTGCAGCCTAATCCAGTTTCCAATAAATAAGCAGCCCCAGGGTGGTCTGCAGAGACAGCAAAGTTCTATGGAGATGGTACTAACTTGGCCTCATTCTGTAGGCAATATGCTTACAATAGTTGGTCAACAAGTTGCTACAGCAGCAAATATTACTCAACACAGATGTCCTTAAGGGCAGCCACCAGCACCTTCAGGCTGACTGAGCCCTCGCGCTGCCTCAGCCAGGACCCTAGGACCAAGTATGTCCAAATGCCAGGAAAAGCTAACAATATGCTCTTCTAAAAACATCTTAGGTGGTTTTCAATTCTCCTAAAAGTAAACATGTGCCTAAAATGTTCAGGCTCTGATTAAGCCAGATCTTAAGATGCTAATCTTAGAAACTGAATATAGATAATAAATTTTACTGATTCCTAACCCAGCGTAAGATGTCTGAATGACTGTGTAGAAGATTCTAGGTGAGTGTTATGGTTTGTGTCTGGATGTCCCCCCAAAGCCTCATGCAGCCATGGGCCAGGCTTCTGCAATTTATGATTGATTCATGGTCCAATGCTGGGATTATGGGTGTGACAGCTACACCTGCCCTGGGGCAGACAGTGTGCCCCTGGGGTGGATAGTCTGCATACAATAGAAGGGAGGGAAAGAGGCTTACTCTTCCCTCTGCCACTCTTCCTTGATGCTCTTGCTGCTTTTGCTGTCTTCTGCCGCCATGAACTGTTGCCCCATGCCATGTGCCACTTTGCCTTGGAGCCAGCTGATTATGGACTGAAATCTCTACAAACTGTGCGCTAAATAAATCTCTCCTTCCTTAATTTTAGGTGTCAGGTATTTTGTCTTAGCAATGAGAGAAAAGTAACCAAGATAGTGAGGAAGGTTTTCTGAGCTCTTTTGGGCACAAGGGTGATGCAAGAGGGTGGGGCAGAACGTGAACTACCTGAATGCAGACCTTCCCATGGGCTGAGCCTTCTTGTACTCATACACTGTCCCTGTCCACAAAAACACTGTCTAGAGTACGTCTGGGTTGCTCTTGCTGTGAAGTCATTTTTTCCACAGCTCTTCACTACGAACGCATTTAGTAACTGGAGAAATTCACCCCCAAAGAAGGTTCAATTATCAGGCAAATGAACTGTGACCCACTGATAAACTACGGCTATGATTCTCGTTGATTTGCTGTGTTTCTGGGGGGTAGTCCACTTTGGAACAATGATCGCTTTTTCCCCGTGCTTGGAGAACTCAAATCCAACCGGCTCTTCTGCAAACGAGCCGGAGGGCAACAAGGCTTGGGGCTTCCGCATTCCCAGGTCCTACTGGTGCCCATGAATCATCCTGAGCAACCACTTCCTACAAAATTAAGAGGTTTGCAGGTGGGACCCTCAACGATAATTTGCATTGTAGCTGTCGGTTTGGGGCTTGGCTGGAAGCAGCAGTGTCCTCGGTTCTGGCACACAGCAAGAGCCTTTCAACAGTGAGTCCCATGAAGTGGCTCCAGGCTTTCAGGAGGCATCGCCCTGGCCCCCAGCTTCCCTGGGCCACACTCCCTGGCTGTGGGGCAGGGCTTGCCAGGGAGAGTCCGGGGCCAGCTTACTCCCTGACTTATTCCTACCAGGAGGAAGATGTCAAGGAAAAGCAAGTTTGGGGAACTGCAGACCAAAGGGTTAATGTTACTTTAAAATGATGTCAGAGCCCCTTACAGCCAGATGCAGCAGCTCATTTATGGTGTCTAATCCTTGCTCCAAGCAGAGTGATGCACCACAGACTGTCATTCAACATACTGACTCACATTCTATTAAAGGAATTCTCCCTGCCTGCCTGCCCTACAGTGGCAATCTGAACCCGCCAGTGAAAATAATATTGGGAGAAAGAGCTAAGCTTTCCCCGACTGATCAAACAAAGAGATACCTCCCTCTACTTTCCAAGTGCACAAAACTCTCTCCTTCACTGTTCGGGGGGAGAAAATCACCGAATTCAAGGAAGGAAGGGTATCACACACATTATGTACATAACATTACTTATGAGCATTTCTCAAACTTCCCCAAAATATCAAAGTACCGCTTTTTAATTAGTATTATCACAATAAAACTTTCAAAATTTTTTCCATGTCCACCAATTTCTCTGACAAAGATTAGAAGTCCTGTATTACTTACACTTGACAATTAGTCAAATGTCCTTGTCGGCTCTCGCCTGTCATTTCAGTGGTCCTGAAACCTGATCCCTAGGGCGCGTGTCACCCTTTCATAGGCATCTACTAAAACTTCACATGTGAGTAGAAAGAGAAAAATGGTGGTGAAGGACCTTCCCTATGAGCAAACTCCAAGATGAAAAACTCACCACAAAATGATCCACTCCCACAGGGAAGAGAAAATGGTGTCCTCGCCACATTAGCCCAGTTCTCACTTTTCCACACAGCGCTTGCCAGACTACCTGCCCTGCCCCTGCTCTCCTCTCTCTCGGCATCAGCAGCCATCAGTTTCACGGTCACATGACAGTTTTTCAGCCTGATTTGGTCTCCTATTTCCACATACATTTTTTGAGGGTAATGACCATTTTGCTAACCCTTTATGAGCACGGTGCTCTTCCAGCCACTAAGACCATCTCAGGAATCCAGCAGGCCCTCTGCCAGGAGAAATGTCATGAATATGGAAAGTCACTACTCTTGAAACCGAGAAGATGAACTAAAGCCTCAAAGTGTCCTCACGAAATTGGCAAGCAGCTTCTCATCTTCTCCCTTCCCTGCCACAAGTATTTCTCACCCTCTTTTATTCAATCAGCTAGCATTTCCCGAGCTCTTGCTTATGGACTCAGCCCACCACGAATGCTGAGTTATAAAGGGAAACCATCAGTCCCTGACCCAAACATGCCCACAAGTATGGTTACCGATGACAGGAAAAGATGGGTTGGTTATAATGTGTGGTTTTCAAGGAGCTTGGAGACTCATAAAAGGAGTTTCCAAACCTGCCAGTCGGAGAGGTGGGAGACATGTGGGAATCAAGCAACAGAAACAGGTAGAAATGACAGCCAGGATTTTGAAGGGGAAGACACCCTGGTAGGGAAAATACCAAAGCTGAAAGAACAAACAGGAGAGAACATGGCAGTTTTCAGAGGGGCAGGTAGTTGGGACTGGCTGCAGGATAGGCTCAGAGAAAGAAAGCAGTGTATGAAGAAGGGTAAGGAGCTTCATCTACAATGCCAGGGCGTATGAACTTATTCTGCAGGCACTGGGACATTGCTGCGGGGATTAAGCAGGGAGTGATACGAGCCAGAGAGTGGATTTGAGAGACATTCAGGCCTAACAGTGAATAGAACTAGCAAATACAGATGGGGGTGAGAGAGAAACAAGGTGATTCCAAGTTCT